TGTCCCAGTAATCCTTATATAGAACTCTGGATTTTTACCCACTGGGCAATTTAGCCAAATCTTTATGTGTAACACATGAATAAACACAGTTAATTGCTAAAGATTATATAACAGATCTCTAAGACTTTTGATTCAAATTTCAGTGCTAGTCTGTTTTTATATACAGCTGCTCAAAAAATATTTTTGCTTCCAAATTAAGTAGTTAAAAATGCTTTCTATAAACACACACACACACACACACACACATAAACATTTATAAGGACTGTTTCTCTTCATATATGCTAAGTTTTTTTATTTGCCCAGGATGAATAATTGCGATGATTATAATATCATATGCAACAGCAGGGAAATATAAATATTGTGTATTAGCAATAAATTGATTTCTTTCAGGTTCTCAAACTCTTGGCTGGGACCTTTTTTAGGGGAAAGATTAGTCCTAATAATCCTTTTCTTGTTACAACCTAACACAGTGCCAGGCTCCTTATAGGAGTCTACAAATATCCATAGAAAGCAGGAAGAGAGGAAAAATGAAGATGGGTTTGGTTCCTTTTATCACCTTTCTGATGCTTTTGTCATTATTCTTGCTACTCCCTTGCTGACATTCTAGATATTTTCTTGCTGGTTCCTTGTACCTCCAACTCCTTGGAGGAGGTCTCTCTGGTTACTGAGCCCTGTGTTACTTGTTTTATGAATTCACTAAGTAATAGTTGATTTGAACATTGTGTTTATTACACATATGTTCATTCACTCATTTATATATGTTTTCACTTATTTTAAAACATTTATTATATATCCAATTGCCAGGTATTATGTTGTATTTGGGAGTTTGAAAAGGTAAATGGAACTAGGAGAAGCATCCTTAACCCAAGATACATATAAATATCCATGTAAGTAAGTTATTGCTATTCAGAGAAATATTTCCTTTTACCACAATCTTTACTGCTATGCAGACCAGCTGTCCTAGAAACCATTTCCCTCTGGTGATAAAAGAGGAACATAAAAATATTCATGTCTCCACTAATTTAAAAAATTTATGGAATGCCTCATATTTCAGGCACTGTGCTTGGCATTTGGGGATTATTAATGAATGAAGTGAAGTAATTTGTACCTTGAACAGTCTCCCTGTAACTCTGAGGGACTCTAATGTAGAAAAGATTATTTTCAGTGTGGATATAAGAAAACTTGATAAATTGTTATTTGCTGAAAGGCAAAATAATAACTCTGGCAATATGTATACAAATTAAATGCCTGTCCATAAGAAGTCCTAGGGAGGATGTGTGACCATGAGTATTTGAGTCTTTAGGTGAATGGTGCTCAGTTTTAATATTCTTTTTTTTTTTTCACAATTTTGTCTGAGATTAATCCTAAGAATGTCTTAGTGCTTTAGAATGAGAACTAATATGAATGCAGTGGATTTTTGTATTTGACACATCTATCTTAATTTTTAGATGAAAGATTCACAATATATACAGTGATAAAATCTCCATGTATTTCAATGTTTTATACATGACATTGTGTGTCAAATAGTTATACAGTAATAGTCTTTAGTTATGGTAGAGAAAGAGGGTGGGGTTGGAGCATGTAATGATTCTGCATGAAAATTCTCATTGCAACAATGTCCGATATGAGGGAAAGGGATTGATTTTCTTTGGACTGTAATCAGGATATGTAATCTTTCCTTCTTTAATGGTTCATATTTACTCAAGGAGTGAGGGATATTAGGACACAGGGAAAAAAAAGGAAGATAACTTAGACATATGGCACAGTACTTGGATATGAAAAGGGGCTATTATGAAGCTACTGGGCAAATTTTAACAAACAGACCGACACAGAAAGAGCTCCTGACTAAGAGCATCCAATCACAGCATTCAATGGAGATAATGAAACAAGAATGAAGGGGCTGGGGATGTGGCTCAAGCGGTAGCATGCTCGCCTGGCATGCGTGTGGCCCGGGTTCGATC